TGGACCAATTTTAGCCTTCACTCAAAGCCAGCAACATGATATCAAGCTGCTTCATACAACAATGTTTTCACTAACTGACATCCAAGTTAGTCATTTATCATAGAAGTCCAATCCTGATTTGCACAACAACATATATGCCTATGAAATGTCTGACAGAGCACTTCCTTGTCTGGGGAGGAATCTAATAATGGCACCATCTGCCTTAAGTCCTCTAAATAAAGTCCCCTGGAATAATTAACCATAAATCCACTGCAACACAATACAGTCTGATGGATCCTTGCTGTGGTCACAGATCACTCCTACCCATTGCTTCCTTCCCTCTTTTTCCTTTCCTCCAGTTTGACTCTATATTGAAGCTGATACCAGGGCTCCTGGGGTCTACAAATTAGTCTGCCTCACGCTGAAGCTCTTTTAAGAAGGATAGTCTATTGTAAGACTCTTACGTCACCTCTTGCAGCAGACCGTGAAACCAAAATTGCCAAAGTAACAGCAGGGGTAAAAAATATTAGTGCCAATGGCAAAAAGAAACTAATTAATTTGCATGAATTAATTCAAAAGCCTTTTATTCATCTTCACCAGGGGTGCCAACATCTGTAGGCCCAATTAAGTCCATTACTCAAACCCAGTAACATGACATCATGCTGCATTATACATCAATGTTTTCACTGAATTACAACTAAGTTTGTGATTCATCATAAAAGTCCGACCCTGATTTGCATAAGAAGAGTGGTTTAATTGTGGTTATGAAATGTCTGACAGAGTGCTTCACTGTCTAGGGAGACGTCTAATAATGGCACCATCTGTAGTCTGCTATCAGAGCTGCTCTAATCTAAAAGGACACAACAATAAGTCACAGTTGAGCACAGGATAAGAAATGGGAAAAGTTGGTCTAGGAAAAAAAAACACAGCACAAACATTACATGAATCAGGAACATCATTTACACATCAGTTCATTGACCCAAACTAACAGAGTTTGTTGGTTTATGCCTGCAGAAATTCTTCAGCATGTCTGTCATCAGCTGACAGGGCGGTCTAGCGTTTGGCACGGTTTCAGCTCATAACAAGAAGGTTCTGAGAGCGGCCCAGCTGGTAGGCTGGAGTCTTATTGTGTGGGTTTAAAATCCTCTCAGCTGGGGCGTTGGTTTTAATATCATCTCAACTTGTTTTAAGTAAAGGAGGTGAGTGAGATTTATATTCTGAATCCTACAAATAAGTTGATTATGAAGCAAAAAAGATGAAGCCTCCAAATCAAGTGCAACATTATTCCTAAATAATGGTGTGAAATTTCCAAGCTAGATTAGATACATGTACATATCCGACATCACTCCACATGTCCAGTTCTTTCTCGATCTATCCGTTTGTCTGTTTGTATTATGTGTCGAGTGTGAGAACTGAGCAGTGTGCAGTGCAGCCCTGGGGGAGGTGAAGCTGTATTCAGGAACCTCTATGGGGGCCACAAAGCTGCATTCATGCAGCTGAATAGCTGTTTTCTACAACGAGGCACTAGTCATCCCAACTCCATTGGAACGCCTCTATGAGTTACCACTCTTCCTGCCTTGGTATGCAGAGCGTTATCCTGCAAAAATCAGAAATGCTTGGATTACCAAAGGCTACAGAAAAACATTTTCAGGAAAACAATGGTACCAGTTTCCAGCCAAGAGGTTTTAAAGGATTTGTTTACTCCCTGTGCTCAGTCCTTCGGATGTCTTTGCTTTTGGGTAACTTCAATTATCAATGTTAACGAGAAAAAAAAGAATCAGAGGAGAGATTAAACAAAATGTCTGCTGCAAGCTACATATGATATGCAGGATTCTGCGATCAGAAAGAACAACCTCATCAAAATATTTATGATAAAATATCACAAGCTGTCCCGACACAAATGACTCTATAGAGATGTCGATCAATACTTTGTAAAGCATGGGATTGTCCAGGCTAGAGAGAAAAAAATAAAAACATAGCAGGAAACTATGGCTGGGGTGAAAAAAGCAGGGTGGGGGTGCAGCTACAAAGTCTCATTCAGATTCAGCTAATGTTTGTTTCCAATTAACCGAGTGCTGGAGTCATGATTCCCCACATCGACTTCCTGTCAGGAGAGTCTTGCTTCCTCCCACAGCACATACTGGTGTAGACTCCCCCCCCTTAATTGGTCAGTTGGAACGATCCAACCAGCTGTCAATCAATGGCTCTGACCTCCAGGGTTTGGAGAGGCTGGGGGTCTGTCACCTCATTTAAAGCACTTATGCAAATGTTGTTGGACTCTCCAAGTTCATGTCTGCATGGGTGGTCTCAGTTAATGAGGAAATATTCTAAGACTTTTTTTTCAAGTGTTTGTTAGAAACTGAATGACTATGCTAAAATGAATGTTGAGGAAATGCAGTTTAAAGACACTTGGTAAGGAAACTTTGGAGAAGTCTTGATTTGGTCTTGAACAGCAGAAACTTTGACCACAACTTAATCTAGAATTCCCAGCTGCACAGAGAGAGAAACAAATGGAACTAAGCCGGGCGTACACATTTTTTTCAATCGTTGCATGCAGCTGCAGCTCATACTGTATGACTAAACCGCAGGGTTTCGTCGTACAGTGTGAGTTCACAGCTCACGATCTATGTGCAGCAAGACGCTCTGATGCGATCTACCTGCTCACACTTTACGTCTAATAACCACATTGGGGGTGTGCTTTGGTGGTGCAGTGGTTAGCGCCCACGACCCATGCACTGAGGCCTTAGTCCTCGACTCGGCCAACCCATGTTCGAATCCATCCTGTGCAATTTGTGCAAGTTTGTGCTGAAAGCCTTAAAAAGAAAAGGCGATGATGCATTTGGACGAAGATAAAGTGCAAACGTGGCTACTACGGTTTGTCAATTTTACTGAGAGAACTCAATTTCACTCGCACCCCCGTCATGCTTCTGTGTTTACATCTGGAAGAAGAAAAAGAAGAGTCTTGTTTGCGCATAGTACCCACTGAGTGATTTGCCCATGACAAACATGTTTGATTTTCCCCTGACCTCACAATTCCTGATCGGGAGGTGGTCGTGAGAGGCTGATCGCCCCTCATTACCCCCTGTACACTACACGACGCACTATCAGGCTGAAAGTCAGCCTGATCGGAAAATTCTCGCACGACCCCGAAAATGGTAAAAAAAACGCACAGTGTAAGCACAGCTTTAGATGAGGACTACGGCTACGACCACAGCACTGGTAACGCAAATTAAAGGCTATTTTTAACGTGCACTTCCCAGCACCTTCATTACAGACTGTGGTCAAATGAACTGATGATTAAAAAAAACACACTTGTCCTTCCAATTACAGTACAGGATAGGGCAAATGGCATTGACTTGGCATGGTTATTAATGCCAGACAGACAAGTCTGCATACTTCACTGCCCATCAGCTGGGATTGTTTCTTAGAACAATTTATTGGGAGATTGGCCCTAAAAAACAGATGATGTCAAAGGAGGATTAGGACACTAGTTGAAGATGACAGAAAACCATCAGAAGCTCAAATAAGCACTTTTTATAACCAAGGTATACACAATAACATGTCTGAACCACAACATGTCAAACCTTGAAACAAATAAAGCAGAGACCCAGAAGAAAGGTAAAATGGTCTGTACTTATATAGCACTTTTTCAAGTCAGGAGACTTGACCAAAGCACTTTACACTACATTCAGTCATTCACGCTTACACTCTGATGGTGAAAAACTACATAGTAGCCACAGCTGCCCTGGGGCTCACTGACAGACCACACCATGAGTAGGCAATACAGTTGAGGTGTCTTTCCAAAGGACACTTATAGCCAGAGACAGGGCTTGAACCATCAACCCTTGGATTACAATGCAAACTCCTACATCCAATGCCACTGTCACCCCCGTAGGAGTGGTTTCTCCTGAACAACAGAATAGCACGGCACTACACTGAAATACAGTGTGTTAGTGGTTAGTTTGTGTGTAACAGTGGCAAGTGGTCTGTCCAACATCTCTGCACTCAGAAGGCGTCCACAATCAACAGATCTCAAGTTTTGGATGTTGTGGAAAGGAAGCACTGAACATCTGTAATGCTGTTATGGTTAACTGGAACAATATTTTAAAATAGTGTTTATAAAAACCTGTTTTTTAAAGAATAATCAAACCAAAGACAAAAGTTATCTGACCTTATAATCATCAAGGAAAACATGGATGATATTCCTGCTTATAAGATGTATTGTATAGAAATATCTGATGTGTTTAAAACAAAGAACAACTAATAATAGATCAAAGTTTTTATGAAAAGTTCACTAACTTTTTGTTCGTTTGCAAGCTCAATGAAACTGCAATTAATAAATTTATTAAACACAACATTAAAAAAAGAAATATTAGTCAGAGGGTGCTTTCAAGGATTAAAGAGATTAACTGATGTGAGGGAATAACAGAAGACAAGAAGGAGAGAAAAAGTAAACTGCTGATTATTGCCTACAGTCCCCTAAATAAAGTCCTCTAAAACAATTAACTGAGATCCCACCACAACACAATCCAGCCTGATAGATCGCTTCTGGTCTGCTGTGGTCACAGATTGATGTACCATCCTTTGGCTCCTTTTATTGTCCTTCCAGATTTACTGTATATTGAGGCATTTATCAGGGTTTCTGAGGTCTACAACTCAGCCTGTCTTACACTGCATCTAAGACAGACAGCCCACTGCAGGATTCTTACATGATCTTCTGTAGGAGACCATGAAAGCAAAAGTGCAAAGACTTGTACTGTTCTGCTGGATATGTAGAAACATAAAGCAAAGTGTAACTAGTCTACTTTTTATTGCCCCAGATAGGCAACTACCTATTTAAGAGAAAATGCTCACAGCCAACATAAAAGAAGGGAGAAGTATTGTAGTGGATGGAAATACCTGACTCTGCAGCATGACAGTCATCTGTTTGACAGTTAGTGCTGGTGTTTTTAAATAATTTAGACAAACATTCAGAACACAACATAGGTGGATTTTAAAAAATAAATGTTATTTTTACTCACCCACGCCGATTTTCTCGTCCTCCGTGGGAGTCCACATGATGTCCTTCTGGGAGCAGATGAAAATCCACGCACAGTCCAGTCACCCGAGGCTTGGCTTCATAGGAATCCCGCTGAGATGTCACCCAGAGAGTGGAAGGGAACAGGGGGGAGAGCCGGGGAGAGGAAAAGTTTACCTCAGGTTGTAGGGAGGCAAATAAAAAAAGAGAGAAATCAGATCTTCAGGTTCTTGAAACTGACAGTTTTTGGCAGATATGTTTAATCCCGTCAGGTTTTGCGCATTGTGATTTCCAGCTCTGAGGAAGAGAAATCCGATAAACAGGGAATCCACAGCGCTGCTGCTTCTACAGCAGAAAGCAAACAGGTTCTGACTGAAATTAAAACCACCACAGAGGAAAAAGGGTCTTTTTTTATTTATTTATTTAAGTCAAGCCCCATAGAGCTCCTCTTCCTCATTCAGCGCAGCATGTCAGTTTTCCTCTGTTCCATGTTTTCTTTGCGCACGCATGCGTTGCCACTATTAACCTGTCCTGCAGCAGATCATGGAGAGGGAATGAAAGGAAAGCATGGCTTCCCCTGCTGGGCTCTGTTTAAGAGGATCATGGAGGAGAAGGGACCCGGGCTGGAGTTGGTTACAGAGAGGGAGTTTTTCCTCCTGCAGCAGCCGATCATTAAAGGTTTACTTCTGGTGACGTGACGCACGCGCTAAATTGCCACATAACATCATGCAGGTGATGAATGTTTATATCTGCGCGAGACGCTTTGGCAAGCTGAGACGCTCTATCTAATGTGGGACACGGACGGCTATTATTACTGCGTTTGCTAAACACATTTAAATATGTTTAATAATATTCACGCCTGACGCGCGAGCGCCGGAAACGTTCACTTTGAAGTTTTTAAAGCGGCGTCGCTCCTTCACCACAGCATAGTGACATAACTGGTGATGTTGCAAGCGAACATACCGACAGCTGATTAATGTTCATATGACTGTTGGTAGCGAGTCAAAGTTCGGATTAATATCGGGGTAAGAGCGCCACCGTGTGGATGTTCCTGGATAGCGCACTAAAACTAGGATTATTTTTAATAAACCTGATAATCTGTGAAGGGAGATTTGTTTCTTTATCATTCAATAAAAAAAGGTTGCTTCAATCAAAAAATATATTTTTTATAAAAATAAAAAAAAAAACGTCACTTCAATCAAAAATTAAAACAAACTTTTCAATCAAAGAAAAAAACATTTTGAATGCAAAAATATATTTGAGACTCAAAAAAATAAATTTGAACTCTGCTATTCTTTGATTGAAAAAGTTTTATTTGGTAGAATTCCAGTCTTTTTTGTTTAAAGCAACTTTTTTAATTGAAGTAACATTGACTCAAATATTTTAATTTGCATTCACAAACAATTTTCAATGATTGAAAGTTACTTTTTTTATTGATTCTGTTATTTGTATCTTTGAAGCAACTTCTTTTTTGATTGAATAATAAAGACACAAATGTCCTACCCATATATGGTTATGAAGGTAGATTTGTTTCTTTATCATTCAATCAGAAAAAGGTTGCTTCAATCAAAAAATATATTTTTAATTAAAAAACCTTCACTTCAATCAAACTTTTCGTTCAAAGAAAAAAATATTTGAATGCAAAAATATATTTGACACTCCAAAAAATACATTTGAACACTGCTTTTCTTTGATTTTTTAAACTTTTTTTTTTTGATTGGACCATAAAATGGGTAGGACATTTGTGTCTTTATTATTCAACCAAAAAAGAAGGTGCTTCAAACAAACAAACCACAGAATCAATAAAAAAGTAACTTAAATGCAAAGATAAACGTTTTCAATCATAGAAAATAGTTTTTGAATGCAATTAAAATATTTGAGACTCTCAAATTGCATTTGAAAACTTTTTTATTATTGAAAATGTTCCCCCAAATGGAGAAGCAGCCGCCCACTGCAGAACGTTTGTGTCTAAACTATTCATTCAAAAAAATTTGAACTTTTTGCACTTCAAAAAAAAAAGTGATTTAAATAAAACAATTTCAATTTCTTTTTTTTTTTACTTAAAAAAAAACAACAAAAAACGACAAACACATTCTCTTCAATATCTTTTTTTTATTTATTTATTTTGCATTTGCACAGTTTTTTCTTTGATTGAATTTTCTTTCTTTCTTTCTTTCTTTTTTTTTTTTTTGATTGAAACAAATTTTTGGGAATTGAATGATTAAGACACAAATGTCCTACCCATGTATGGCCCAAACACAAAATAGATTACTTCAACCAAATAGAACATTTTAAATAATAATAAAAAAAAGTGTTCAAATGCAATTTTTGGAGTTTCAAATTTTTTATTTGCATTCAAAATTTTCGTTGATTGAAAACGTTTATCTTTTCATTGAAGTTACTTTTTTTATTGATTCTGTTGTTTGTTTGTTTGTTTGAAGCAAATTCTCTTTTGGTTGAATAATAAAGACACAAATGTCCTACCCATTATATGGTCCAATCAAAAAACTGTTTTACTTCAATTAAAGAAGTTGCTTAAACAAAAAAGACTGGACTTCTATCAAATAAAACATTTTGAATAAAAAAAAAGCTGTGTTCAAATGTATTTTTTCCGAGTCTCAAATATATTTTTTGCATTCAATTGCAGTGAAGGGTTTTTATAAAAAAAATATTTTTTGATTGAAGCAACCTTTTTTTGATCGAATGATAAAGAAACAAATCTACCTTCACATTAATCTAGGTTAAAACATGTTATCATTCCCTTTGTGTGTTTGTGTTTGGAAACTAAAATCATTTATGATCAGAAGCCACTTTTATTATCTTAATGTCTTAAAGCAGAGCGTTTAAACATTTTTGGACACTTCATGGTGGATCTTGGAGTGGTTGAACAATTAAACTTTAAAAGCAAAGTAAAGAAATTATGCTAACAAAAATACAATATAATCAATTCATTAGTTTATCCCATTTTGGATCTGGTAATTTGTTTAAATTTCATTTGACTAATTGAATGTAAGAAGTAATACTCCCTGTATAAAATATTTACAAGGAGCATTCACTTATCCTGAGCTGTCTCTGTAGTTATGTTGCTATAGGCTTAGACTGCTGGAGGACATAGGGACCCCCATGTCATCATTCTGCTTCATTCTATCTCTATTCTCCCACTCTGCAGAATCTGTTAGTTCAAGCTCTAACACTTTGCTCTCTCTGCTTTTTCTCATAGTAGCTTTGCCTTATCTGTTTCTGTTTGGCTGTGACACCATCCTGGAAAGAAACATCAGCTGTGCTGCTTCCATCAACACCCTTGTTTATAGATCCTGGAGATCAGCCTGTTTTCCACTGTAGTCCTGTTTCTCTGACTGTGACTGGATGGATGTGCTCTCTTCGTCCTCTGACATGGGAGCTGGCTCAGAGCTCGTCTGCCTGGCTGTGTGTTTCCTGGACCGGGCCGCCTTTTACAGCTGCTTTTTGTATCTCTGCTTCTGTCTTAAAGCAGATGGCCACTCACCGTGAGCCTGGTTCTGCTGGAGGTTTGTTCCTGTTAAAAGGGAGTTTCTCCTCTCCACTGTCGCTACATGCTTGCTTAGTTTGAGGGATTGCATTCGAGTCAATGCAATCAACTGTTTTTTTCTTAGATAGAAAACATTGAATCAATTTGACGCTATATAGCAATTGGTGATATATAAATAAACTGAATAGAATTGAACTAGTTAAAACCTTTTTTTCTTGAAGATTATAAACTACCAATTTGAAAAAAAAAAGGTTTTATGATCTTTAATATGAAGACTATAGACTTAATTTACCAATCTGACTCTCTATAACCGCGTCCAGAAGGACAGTGTCCAGACTAAACAGTTACTTTTACTTATCCTGTTTTAAGCTCTTTATGGTGTCTCGTCCCTGGAAACACAAAAGCGGAACTCCAAAAAGAACATTAGATGGAATGACATTTTAAACTTAGTGATTTGAAAAGAAAACTTTATAAATGCTATCCACCCAGCAACAACAAGGTGACCATGTTTATAGTCCAATTCTGCTTGGCTCAGACTAGTTGGGCCAAATGTTTTACTTTTTCAGGGGTACTGATTGATAATAAGTACCTATGTTATAATTCTTATATCAAGGTCTGTATACTTTTCAAAAATACTCAAAAAAATAAGATAAAAATCTATTTTAAGAATCTTATCATTCAATGATGTTCGCTAAACATAAAGTCAGGCCAGATGTCATTCATAAAGCACATCAGGTTGTCAAAGCAATACAAAATATATTTATAAAAAAAACAGACCACAAATAATCCAATACCTAAACAACTCAGAGTGGCTTAGAAGTCAAGGAAAACATGTTTTTAAGATATTCAAAATTAGGAAGCGAAGGTGTTGGAAGAGATTTGTTCCACAGTTTAGGAGCCATGACTTAAAAAAGCCCAAATCCTCTAAGCTTCAACCTCGTGTTTTTGAAAACCAAGAGAAGCTGATCAGATGATCTCAGAGAAAGAACACATGATTGAAACAGGGTGAAGATAAAAGTATGCTTAACAGAATCAATATAGAAATATTTTGCCACCACACTAATATTATTAAGAGGAAATACACGTCTTTATGCTAAGATCAGTTTAAACAGACCATTGGGGCGAACCTGTTGCAATGGTTCCTTCATCTGAGCTCTGCCCTGAATCGTCAGCTCACCACAATGGACTCATTTCGAAATTTGTTTTTACACATTGCAGTTTAAAAGATTAAATATATCTAGCACTTATGTAGCATCCCAAATATAAAAACTTTCCATAAGAAAAGGTTCCACATTACATCACACATAAATGAATTACTAATAAGTGACTAATAAAAAAGTTATAGTTCCAGGAAATTTTATCCAAAATGCAAAGCCTTTACTTAGAAAGCACAAAACATTTATTCCAGTTTGATCATTTGTACATCTCTGATAAAGTCAAATGTTTGCCATAAATCACCAGGTAATCTTACAGATTGCATGTGTATTACAAAGGCTGGATTTATTATGGAGAGAAAAACACACAAAAGGTTGTAATTGTAGCCCATGCCAGCTTTATGACATCAACAAGTTGCATAGGATCGTTTTTAATTCAAGAACCAAACTAATAAACAATGTATTTACAAACATTTTCAACTTTTTCAGTCTTACCTGCTAATGTACAAATTATTTCTATCCACCTGTTCAGACCAAAATGTAAATGTAAGTTATCAATGATGAAATTTACCTTTTAGATCTGAAAATACATTCAGAAACCAAACTAAACGCATTCAGAGGAGAAAACCAGAGTTGTCATTACGCAGCTTCAGCTGTGCATCTACTGATCAAACGAAAAAGACCAAAAAGATTGGCAACAGCAGAATCATTCAGGGTCCAGCCTTATAACAGCTGCTTGTTTGATGCTGTGTAATGAGTTCAACATAAGCTACCAAAAGCAGTACAAAAATCTCATGGATTTGAACATTTTAATTTCGATCCTATTTTTGTCTTATGCCAGTTTAACAACTATTTGCACTCTGGTGAACCCAACAATGAATGAAAGAGATTAAAGCTAATTTACTATATAAAGAATAGAATCCAAATTATTTTGAATCCCTATTAACAAAACATATTCTCTGCTGGTAAAGGACTAGCTTTCCACACCGCACTATCATTTAAGCTACCCGTACATTAGAATTGCTTCCTTTACATTTTAAAAGATAAAATGCAGCATATTTTAAGCCTTTCAAAGGCTTCATCTCCGCCGGTATCTGCTCGTTATTTCCAGTTACCTGAGGGGCATGAGATCTAAAAACAAAAATTGCATATTTTCCATCAAATGCAAAATCCATCAACAAAAACTGGTCAAAAATAAATAACACAAGAAAAAAAATATTTGATCTAAGCCTAGCCGCTATCTTAATTCTAAAACTATTATTCAACAAACCGTTTAATTTTCCAGGTTTAGAATATTTAATATAAAATCCAAAGGTTGAATTTACTGACATCTGGTGCAGAGAAATAAGGTCATGCATCCAAGTAAAATTATTTCCCCTTCTGATAACAAAAATGTGAACTCTGGAGACTTGTTTGGTTATGTTAGCAAAAGTACAGACATTGGTAGAGTTTAGGCATTTGGGACATTCCTTAATAATAATAAATGTGCAAGCATAAAAACCTGTGATATTATTGTTTAGCCAACCTATATTGAAGTAAATCTCCAATAAATTCAAATGACCCTAATTTCTTAATGGTATGTTAAATACCCTATGATAAACACTAAATTTGATTTTATTTTTAAATGATAAAATTTAATTTCTAGAGGAAATTTACCCTTTTTTCGGTTGATAATTTTTCTTCTCTCTACATGTAAGACATCTTGCTTTTTTCTGCTGCTGCACAAGGATTGCTTAGTTTCTAAGCATGTCTGATACACGTTCCAATTTGAGATTTTGGGACGAGTAAACACATTTTCTACAGAGGACATACAAAAATATTTATATGCCTTTGCAAGGATGCAAGTAGATATTTTCAAGTAACACAAAACTGAGGCACATTTGAGAAAAGTTGGCTTTTTTTTTATATGAACATACGAATATTATTACATGTTGAAAAACAGGATCCAAAAAACGTCATTTTCTGAAAATGTCTGTGGTCAAAACTCACTTTAAAGAGCTGTGACCAAAAATTTAAATAATGCTTAAATAAAAACTGGGAAACTATTTTTTATGAAAAAGAGACCTTTTGTTTATTCATTGTGCATCTTATATTTTCTCCTCATACAAAGAACTGTCTTCTAAGGTTGAGCGTAGATTTGAAAAAGGACGTTGTGCTCCATTTCTGCAGCAGATGCAAAGTGTCCAAAAATATCATAGATATAACACAACAAACCTTTAAAATTTAATTAAACAGGGACAAGAAATCCAAAACCAATGGTCAGTCTAGTTTTTTAAATGAAACCTTGGAATTTTTGGTGCCATTTATCTGGCTTTTCTGAGGGATCCACATGCTCTGCGCAGCGAGTGCGCCTCCTCTTCCATCTCTCAAACTATACGTCAGACATGTATCCAAATATGTCAGTCTTCATCATCTGATTCTTCTCTTAACCCTGAAACATAATAACCATATGTAAAACACGTCATGTGTAATAGACAAAAAACATTACATATTAAGAGCAGATGTTGCTTCCTTCTCTACTATTTCACTGTTGTCCGATTGTACTATGAGGTATTAAATATCAATCAAATTGCTTTAACTTTAACTGATTTCATTTACAGAATAAGGCAACAGAAGAAAATCTAAGTTTAAACTTAATTACAAAATAACAGCAAATAATGTCAGAAGAAACTAAAAAGGTTTATTAGATGTCTGCAGATCAAGTAGAATCAGGGATTTACATACTTTTTCAAGATATAAACCATATTGTATAAATTAGAATAAGCATTAGGATGAGGCTTATTTGTCAGATAAAAGCATCTCTTTAAAATAACTTCTAAGCAGCTATTTAAACCTCCTAAGTTTATTGATCTGATGACAAATGTTAATCTCATTATATGCATTTTAATGTAAAAACATCTTTTTTTGCTAACCTTTATAGTATAATTCTCTCAACGAACAGTTGGTGATTGAATTAAACAAAGAATAACATCCTAGTAAATTAAATTCAAGTTTCCCTTGTTAAGAAAAAGTTCAAAGATGATGGTTACACTGTGCAACTGTAAAAAACTAAAAATAACCCAATTTTATATAACTACACAACATTTATTTAAAAAAAAAAGTAAAAAAAAACAATCCATTGGAAGTTTGAAGACGTTTCTCTTCTCATCCTGGAAGGTTTTTCAATTCAAAATGTCAAAATTAGCGTTGAATTCAAAGCGTTATGTAGTAGTCCAAAAACTTTTTTTGGTTTAGAAAACCTGCAAATTGAACCAGAAGAACAGGTCCGAGAATCTTCACCAGCATACGTGACATTTAGCAGATAGTAACTAAACAATTAAAATAAAGCAAAGTGTAAATCTGAAACTGTCTATAAGGCTGGATTAAACCGACAAGTTTCTGTTTATCAGTTTGTTTTGAGAATTGCCTTAAGTCCACATTTACGGCGAAACTGTGCTTTATAAACAGTATTTTTAAGTATTTTTAAATTTTTAAATTTAAAAAGTATTTTTAAATTGGGTAACTGCAATAAATGCAAATATATATTTGTTAGAAGTTTCACATTGTCTCAAATAGGAGGTAATCTTTGTTATAGCATAGCCAGAACACGGCATGTAAAATCATGGGCCAGTTTTAATAAAATATTTCAAAAGAGCTGTAACAAAACAAGCAGGGAAATGTGATCACTTACATGATGAGTTGAGGATTGAATCTTCTAGGTCTGAGTCCTCCGAGTCAATATTACTAGGGTCATAATCACTGCTATTACCAAGAATAGCCTGAATCTGGTTAAAAAAATGAAAAGCAAAACTCAAAAACCATCATTCTGCTTTATTATAAATTTTAGATATTTCATTCTGCTTCAGTTCTTATTCTATACTGCTAGAGTCCCTTGAATGTTTTCAATCCCAATCAAATGTCATCAATTCAGATGGACCTTCAACGGAGAAGCAAGAATCAAGTGGGTGATGCTGTGAGGTACTGTAGCTGACGAATATCACAAAAACCTTGAAGGGTTTACTAAAATCTTGCTTGATTAAGTCAAAGGACAAGTGTGAAAAAGGAAGCTGGAAGTTTCCACTTACTTTGCATCAAGAAAATCCATAAGCCTTAAAAGTAAATCAACTTAACAAATGTGTATATATTTCAGTGACTTTGGTCTAACAATCATCTTTACAAAAGCAAAAAGTAGAGGTACTCAGTCCAACAACTTAGATTTTTGTTTGTTTTTTTACAGCTCAGACTTTCACTTTTAGCATCACAAAGGTATTTAATTATATGGAAAATATATATGCTTAATATCTGCCTATAGCCTTAATCTTAAAAAAAAAAAATGTCCAAGGCATTTTAATTAGAAACATGGTAAAATACTTTGTGAGATTTTGCTAATTGTTTATCATCATTTTAATTCATGGGATTTATACAATTTTAATTCGGTTTCAATCCAGAGCTACACTGCAGGTAAAGGTGCAGCTGATTAAGGTGAAGAAAAATGTAAAAGGGGTCAGAAATGATCAATTACAATCAGTTCAGAACATCCAGAAATACTGTTTTTATATTTCTTTGCATTTCTCTCACTGCTAACATTAACATAAGATTATTTAGAGCTGGGTAAACTGATCAGAAATGCCAGCTCTGTGATTGGATGCCCTCTGGAGGTGGGAAACAAAATGACTAACTAAATAACAATCTGTTGGATAATGTCTCCCACTACATGTATGAAGCTGTTGCTGAACTGCAGAGCTCCATCAGTCAGACTGCTACACCCTAAATGCACCAAGGAGCGTTATCACAGATCCTTCCTCCTAGAAGCTGTAAGTTTTATAACCATCCCTGTTCTCAACAACCTCAAAGGGTTTTTAAATTTATGTTGATTTATGCAAGTTTCTGTCTTAGTAACTTAAATAACATGCTGCTTTCATTTTGCTCATCTCTGGTGATGTTTTCACATATCCTTTACTGTAAAAATATCCACAGTTGCATATTGATTATTTATTCTCCAAATACACAGTATTTATATTGCAAAAACACCTCACAGTACATTATTTTATTTGTTTATTTTCATAAATGTAACTTATTCTGTTATTTTATACACTTTTTAAGATCGATATTTGTGTGACCTTTTTTGCTATAATCTTATGCTGCTGTAACACCACAATTTCCCCATTGTGGAACAATAAAGGGATTTTCTAATATATTTTCTATTCTATTAATTTTCCATTTATATGGTTAAGATTATCAATGATTCTAAATTAACTGGTATAGTCATATATAACAACATAAAAAAAATAAATAAAAAATAAATTGATATACCACCTCATCACTAGTGTTAGCGTCCTCCACGTTCTCCTGTTCATTAATATCAGCCAGTTCCTCAATGAGGGGGTTTATGTCTAGATCATCGTCATCATCATCATCATCATCTGAATCTGACGAATCATCATCATCATCCTGATCTTGATCCTGGAAAAAAAAAAGCATGCAATGAATATAAAGGATCCAAATCCCAACTAAGAGCACAGCTGAGATCAGAAATAAACTCTGTCTCACACCATCTGTGCTGATCCTAAAAATCCCCCAAACCAAAAAACGAAAGTTACGTATGTAACTACGGTTCTATGAATCCCGGATGACCGCCAGAGGGCGGTGCTGAAAGCACTGAATGTTCCCTTCGGGCATGCGCAGTTCGAGTAATTATACCAACAGAGTCACACCTGTGACACCGGATGACCACTCAGAAGCTATATAGCCTGGTGTCATCCTTTGCTCTGCTCCTACAGAATCTTCTCGCAAAAGCAAGGATTCTGAGTGACAGAGAAGCTCTGGCGGTCATCCGGGATTCATAGAACCGTAGTTACATACGTAACTTTCGTTCTATTTCATCCCTACTGACCGCCAGAGGGCGGTGCTGAAAGCACTGAATGACTAATGCCAACGATGTCACAAGGAATCCTGAGCACATACCTCACAGAGGAGGCCCAGCAGAACCTTGTAAAAGGACCTGACCCAGGGGATGAGGGGCAGCCACATTGACACTGTAGAACCTGGTGAAGGTGGTTGGGGAAGCCCATGAAGCAGCAGCACATATAGCTTCCAGCGGAACCCCTCTCAAAGCAGCCCAGGAAGCGGTGACGCTCCTGGTGGAATGTGCTCTCACACCGACTGGCAGGGAGCAGTGACCTGCAGCGTAGGCGTGGCAGATGACACTCACAATCCAATGGGACAGACGCTGTTTAGAAAGAGGACAGCCTAACCTTGGACCCCCATAGCATAGGAAAAGCTGGTCCGAGCGTCTCAGATTGGCGGTGGCTGCAATGTATGCCTCCAACGCTCTTACTGGGCACAACAACTCCGACTCATTCTCAGTTGTACCAGATTGAGGCTGAAACCGAGCGAGCCGCAATGGCTGGTTACGGTGAAAAGGAGACAACACCTTAGGCACAAACGCAGTATTAGGCCACAGGGTAACACCAGAGCCATCTGGATTCCACCTGATACACCTAGGGCTGACAGAAAGAGCATGTAGCTCGCTGACCCTCTTAGCTGAGACGATAGCCATCAGGAAAGCAGCCTTGCAGGAAAGCCACTTGAGTTCTGCTTGTGCCAAAGGCTCGAATGGAGGGTGGCACAGAGCTGTGAGAACCAATGGCAGATCCCAATCTGGGGCTCGTGGGGCTGGCCGCTGGCACAACCTACGAGCACCACGCAGAAAAAGTGAAACCAGTTCATGGCGCCCCACTGTACGGTTGTCAACAGTTCGGTGAAGACATGAAATTGCTGCAACATACACTTTAAGGGTCGAAGGAGAGCGGCCCTTATCAAGGAGAGACTGGAGGAACTCCAAAATAGTGGGCACCGAGCAGGAAAGCGGGTTCTCATTGTGGGCAGAGCACCACTGAGAAAAGAGGCGCCATCTGTTAGCATACTGCAGCCGAGTGGAGGAAGCCCTAGCACTCAATACGGTGTGTCTCACGGTGTCTGAACACCCAGTCAGCCTCCCAGGGGCCATGCCCACAGCTGGAGACGTTGAGGGTTGGGGTGCCATATCTGTCCCCCCAACTGAGACAGCAGATCCCTCCTTGCTGGAAGACGCCATGGAGTACCGTGACACAGACTCCAAAGCAGCGGGAACCACGGCCGCGCTGGCCAGAACGGAGCTACCAGCAACACTCTGTGGCCCTGCTCGAGAACCCTCCGTAGAGTCGGCCAAACCAGTGAGAGGGGTGGAAAGGCATACAGGAGAACCTGCGGCCATGGATGAGCCAGTGCATCCTGGCCCAGTGCGCCCGCCATCCCGGTTAGGGAATACCATAGGGGGCAATGGGTCGACTCCTCTGTGGCGAACAGATCTACCTCTGCCTGCCCAAAGAGGTTCCAGATTATGCGCACTACGTCGGGGTGAAGAGACCACTCTCCCGGAGCAGGTGCCTGGCGGGGTAGAGAGTCCGCAACCTGGTTCTGCCGTCCTGGCAGATACGCTGCGCGCAGGGTACACAGACGGGGATACGCCCATTCCAGGAGATCCCTCGACACCTTCAAGAGACGTGCTGACCTGGTGCCACCTTGGTGGTTTATATGATAAACAACAGAGGTGTTGTCTGTCTGAATCAGCACGTTCCTTCCCTCTAGGTGGGGCAGAAGGCACCTGAGGGCCATGTGCACAGCCCGCAGCTCCAGCACATTTATGTGTTCGGTGCGCTCCCTTGGGTCCCAGAGACCCCGAACAGCTCTGTGTTGCCACACGGCACCCCAGCCCATGAGGCTGGCATCCGTGGTGACCACCTCCCTTCGACACACTACTAGCCCCATTGGAACACCACTGGACAAAAGGGTCCCGTCTCGCCAAGGAGCTAGGGCATGGAGGCAGCTCCTGGTCACCATTAGCCTGCGATGCCTGTGCAGCCTGGCGTCTAGGCGAAAGCTGTTGAGCCATCGCTGCAAAGGACGCAGAAGGAGCAGCCCTAAGGGCACGACACGAGTGACTGATGTCAGTTTGCCCAGCATTCGCAGGAAGGTGATGTAGGGAAACTCCCTGCCCAGTCTGAATCGACGGACAAGCTGGAGTATGTCGTCCACCCTGTGAACAGATGGACGGGCCATCATGGTAGCAGAGTCCAGATGCATCCCAAGAAAGGTGGTTGTCTGAGATGGAACCAGACAACTCTTTGCCAAGTTGACTTTGAGGCCTAACATTGACACATGAAGTAGAAGCTGGGACGTATCCCGAGAGGCAGCTACCTGAGAGGGAGCACAAAGAAGCCAATCGTCCAGGTATGGCAGAATCCTGACTCCGGAGGCCTGTAGAGGAGAGAGGGCTGCTTTCACGCATCGAGTAAACACCCTCGGGGAAAGGGAGAGCCCGAATGGGAGCACCCGGAATTGCCAATGGCGCCCCCGATAGGCGAACCTGAGAAAACGGCGATGTTCTGCCGCAATAGGCACGTGAAAGTAGGCGTCTGTCAGATCTACTGATGTAAAACAATCTCCCGCCACAATGGTCTGAAGGACCTCTGTTATGGTGAGCATGTGGAAGGGAAGGACCTTCAGGTACCGATTCAGTCCCCTTAGATCTAAAATGGGGCGAAAACCGCCGGTCTTCTTGGCCACAAGGAAGTATGTGGAGTAGTAGCCTCTGGGTTGCTGCAGAGGATCTACAGACTCGATTGCCCCCTTGCCCAGGAGGGCGGAAAGCTCCTGGTCTAGTGCCTGAGATTTCACCGGGTCTGTGATGACAGTCATCTTGACCCGGTGTGAGAGGGGGGGCCGCCGTCGGAACTGGAGCCTGTAGCCATTGGTTAAGGTGGCAACCACCCATGGATCTACGGCATGAGCAGCCCAGAAATTCAGCTGCTGATGGGAAAAATGTCCGACGGCTGGCCCGGTGGCATCATCTTCTATCCCCACGGCCCCTGGGGGCTCTGGGGGGAGGGCGTCCAGGATTTGAGGCCCGGGTCTGTCTAACAGGGCGGCAGACTGGCTCACGAAAGTCCCTTCTCGGTCTCTGCCGCACATCATGGGGATAGGAACCAACAGGTCTGCCACCGGTCTGAGGTCGTGGCTGAACGCTGGGGGTAGTGGCAGGGCGGCCCGAACGCTGGGGAAAGGCAGGTATGCTCCTGCGAAGGCCGGAAAGCTGCTGGCTAGTCTGACGTGCCTGAGCAGTCCGTTCCAGCGCCTCCAAGGCAGCTGATCCAAACAGCTCCCCTGGTACAACCGGGACACCCCTGAGGGTCCTACGGCATGCTTCAGTCAGATACGGTCCAGGCCGGCCTTCACTGACTCATGCATGGCAGCTAATACACGACCATACGAGGAGAGACGCGACAGCGCTCTCGGTTCCCGCCAACAGGCGTGTAACTCCTTCAGGTACTCCTCTGATGGAGGTACAGAAAAAGGAGTAGGAGCCCTTCCACGTCTGAAAAAAGCACTGCCAGAGCTGGATGCCTCTCCTTGTGGGAGTTCCAGCTGCAGCTGCTTCAGGGCCATAGACATGACCTCCCGCATGGAACCGTCACCGGCCTCTCCAACCGCACTCTGAGATGAAAATGAACCAGCCTCAGAGGCTTGAGAGGACCCTGCCTCCTCCTCATCTCTAAAATGAGAAGCGGAGGCAGCCAGAGAGATAACGTCATCCTCTACAACCAGCTCGGGCATTGGTGGGGAAGAGAGCCCAACCACTGGGAGCGAGGGATCAGATTGCCGTGTCTGCAACAAGGACTTCATCTCTGCCAGCTCTGCTGACAACTGCTCCACCCTTGTGGACAGGCCCTGGTCAGGTTTGGCCCGCTTCCTCCGGGGGAGGGGCACAGATGCTGTGGTCCCACCACGGCGCTTAGAACGCTTGGGGGGAACCACCTGCCCAGAGGGCGGAAGGTCCGAGCCCTCCTGGGGGCACAACTGGGCCAACCGGGCCACCCTCACTGCATGGGGCATAAAGCTGCAGTTCATACAGGGGTTCTCAGACAGCGCCTCCAAAAGGTGCTCATGTCCAAGGCAGGTAGGGCACAGGTCGTGGCCATCCTCTGCCTGCAGGGCAGCCCCACAATCTATGCAGCTGTGAGAGCCATCCATGTCGAAGGCCGACAAGGCTTAAAGAACAGAAAGTTATCGAAAATCGGGAGAGGGGGCGCAAACGCAGCCGTCACCAATTACAGCAGAGAAACGAAAGAGGCTGCGAGCACAAGGCAGCCGATACTGGGAGAGGGGGGCGAGAACCGCTACCGTCACCAGGTATAAAACCAATAAACCAAAAAAGCTAACAACGTTAGCTGTATGGAAACTTAAGTTGGAAGTAGGAGCGAACAACGCTGCCGTCACCAATTATAGCGGATAAAACAAGAGAGGCTGCGGACACAAGGCGGCCGATACCGGGAGAGGGGGCGAGAACCGCTACCGTCACCAGGTATAAAAGCAATAAACAAAAAAAGCTAACAACGTTAGCTGTATGGAAACTTAAGTTGGAAGTAGGAGCGAACAACGCTGCCGTCACCAATTATAGCGGATAAAACAAGAGAGGCTGCGGACACAAGGCGGCCGATACCGGGAGAGGGGGCGAGAACCGCTACCGTCACCAGGTATAAAAGCAATAAACAAAAAAAGCTAACAACGTTAGCTGTATGGCAACTTAAGTAGGGAGTAGGAGCGATAAACGCTGCCGTCACCAATTAAGAGAGCAGACCAACGAAAAGGCTGCAAAAAAAGGTTGATATTGGGAGAGGGGGCGAAAACGCTGCCGTCACCATTTATAATTAAGCAGACCGATGAAGAAGGCTGCAAACAAACCAAAAAAGGCTAACAACGTTAGCCGTCTCCAACTTCGGCAACGAAGTAGACCACACTTGGTTGGGAGAGGGGGCGAAAACCGCGGCCGTCAGTAATTATAGCAGCGCAGACCGGTGAAAAAAAGGATGCAAAAGTAGGGAATATACTGGGAGAGGGGGCGAAAACTGCTGCCGTCACCAGGTATAACACCAACAAACTAAAGAAGCTAACTACGTTAGCCGTATATAACTTCGGCAGTGAAGTTATTCACACTGGGAGTAGGGGCGAAAACGCTGCCGTCACCAGTTCGGAACAAAACAGCACGAAGCTGTAGGTAAAAAGCTAAAGTCGTGAGCCGGGAGAGGGGGCGCGGACGCTACCATCACCAGCAAACAACTCACTTACCTTCCGTAATCTTCAGAATCGACCCGTTGCAGCCCTGGGAGGGCGGAGAATAACCGCAACTCCGGTCAAGAGACAGGGGCTTCAGACAACGGGGAAGTTAGCGAACCGCTTGCGAGAAGAAAAAAGGAGCAGAGCAAAGGATGACACCAGGCTATATAGCTTCTGAGTGGTCATCCGGTGTCACAGGTGTGACTCTGTTGGTATAATTACTCGAACTGCGCATGCCCGAAGGGAACATTCAGTGCTTTCAGCACCGCCCTCTGGCGGTCAGTAGGGATGAAATAGAACTCCAACAACCAATAAACCTAAAAATCTCATCTAAAAACAAACAAGAAATGCAGTTTTTACTTTTAAGTGTCATGAATCTTACCTGATCGTCAACGTCTCCTTCTTCTGCCAGTTTCAGTCGTCCAACTTGATATAGACGACATACCGTATCCATGCTCGTTGTATCCTGGTTCTACGACATTAACATGTAAAAAGTCATTAGAATGGATGAAAAAAACAACTCACATTGATAAAAGTCAGAGAGCTATTGCGTTAAAGTTAACACCAATAAGATGATGTAACAGTAATGAAACCAATGGAGTACCTCTATGACAGCCAGGTGGTAGTCCTTAGTATCTGCACACAAATCAAAGATGTTCCTCTTTACATCCAGGGTGGCTGTTTAAAATCAGGTAAAAATATATATATTAGTCACACTTTAGACTTGGAGGACTCTGCCATTTTTGTAATCAAGATACAGAAGAGAGATAAGAAATGCTCTACAAGGCTTAATGCAGTTTAGAGGCAGAGAGAAGTTAATATTGTATGAAGGGGGTTCAACCAACCGATAGGCTTGTAGTCTGTAGCATCAAAGGTTCTGAAGGAGGAGCCAAAGGGACTCGCCACCTGCCCGCTTATGCTGACGTGCTCATCATCATCATCTTGTAGCATCGCTGTTCACAAGCAGGTATATCAATTAAAACATGTCAAGTACTGGACAGCATAACCCATCCCTTTTTACCAATGTGGGACCATACCTCCATACATGATGGTGCCAGTGCTGTTAAAGACCAACCCGCACTGATCCAGAGCAGGAACCGTGTGGAGCAGATGGAAGGTCCTCAGGTCCCACTGAAACCTGCAGTCAAGGCTGACAACTGTAGAAAACCCTAAGGACAAGCAATGGATCTCGCCGGGATTTAAATGGCTCTTATGGCTGGTTTACAACTTTCCTATTTACGTGAAGAAAATGTGCAAAGCTACAAGTAGCATCCTGAACAGAAGCTGAGCTTTTCTCTTTCATCCTCATCATCTTACTGCCACCATCATCCAGGAAAAATGACACCATGCAGTTCTTTGTGACTCAGATTCAAGCTTCACTCAGTACTGCCAGAAAGACCATGACAAATTATAGACATTTATATTTGAATGTATTGTAAGAGTAAAACCAGCTGAGTTTTTGTCTAATAGGGAAAATAAAGTACCAAAGCACATTTTTTAACCTGACAAGGATGATTTCTACTCTTACTCACATTGATCAGGATTTTTAACTGTTACTTGTATAAATGCATAAACATAAACTAACAAACAGAGAGCCCACTGTGGCCATAAATAAAATATATGAAACACATCAGCAAGGAAACTAAATAATTTAGAAAGGATACAATCTCTGTGTTGATGATGACCTCCAGCCCGTTTGGATGGAAAACCCCGCTGAGGTTCATGTTGAACTTGTCGAACTTGTGGATAGCCCGTGATGCGCGCACATCCCACAGGACCCCGTCGTTTAGCACCAAGTCATCCGTGGGGTTGAAGGTGGCACAGTTTCTCTTGTAGTCATTGGCCAGTGCAGGGTCGTTCAGGGTCAGGATCTTCTGGCCCGTCTGGATGTCATAGATCTAGAACATGAGTAGCAGAATTAATATCCTAACCTTTAGAGAAATCAAAAAAAATATCAACCTGGAAAACCTTTGTAGATTACTGGAATACCTGAGCTTACAGACATTAGAACTGCTTTGTTCAAAGTCATTTTGAAACATTACTGCTGGATTTTTATGTCCGACTGAAATCAATTCATATTTCCTACAGTTGATATCAAAATCTAATTAAGATGCTTCAGTTCTTAAGAATATGTCCATTGATGTGTTCAAACAAAGCTTTGTGAAATTATCTTTTTTTTATAGAATAATCGAAAGTTTTAAAGTTTTGAGTGCAGTCCTGGAATAGTATTAAGATAACAGGGATCTATTGTTTACTTTTTCCTTTTGTATGTTTTTTTTATAATAATAGAATCCATGTTATTGGCTGTGTGGTATGACCTCTTCCTCAAGATGGGATAAGTTTGCCTCTTATTAGTTAATAATCCCCAAGTGAGCACTGTGCTCCCAGAAACCCTCCATGGAGAACAGAAAGTTGCAAAGATGCATTAACAGAAGAAGCTCTGAAGAAGCTTTGCCTGATGGGGCGAGAGATAAATGTTCTGAATTGGTCACAATTACAGAAAACAATTATAGTATTTCAATGGATTATAAGAGCAACTAATTTGCAGAGATTAATACAGCTTCATGTATCTTAATATAGAAAAAAAAATTGTGTGTAAAAATGCAAAAAATAAAAATGGTGCTTGGAATAAAATACAAATGTTGATATTAATTAAAGCAGGAGTTAAAGCCTAAGAAGCTGCTGATAGAGTCTGGTGCAAAAATATTTTTTAAGCTCTACAATGACTAGGTAAACACTATCTGCATGAACAATTGGCGGATATTATCATTTTATAGATGAGAATTTGTTCTTTTTGTAGTTTTTTCTGTCTCAGTATTATTATGAGAGTAGATCACTTAAGAAACCACTTTATTAATTGATTAATGGATTAATTAATAGATTTCTGCATTGAATTGATCATGAGCATCAATACTGTTGCATCACTCATGCTCCTTACATGTGCGACTTCATCCTTAGTACCAATTACTCTGTCCTGAGAGAGTTTGCTGAACTCAACATGGTGATCCTCTCCAAATGAGGTTCTGAGGGGAAAAAAATACATATTGCATTATTCAACAACACACATTATTATGCTGTTATTACAATGAAATAAATTAAAACTCATTTAAAACAGTTTTTACTTCATGCTAAAGACACCGTCCATACTCCACAGAGCTGACAGGGGGACTCTCCAGGAGGCAGAGGTAAGAACTAAGTTACCATCCTGTGAAACAGAGAAAAATTATTCACCTAAAAACAAGCAAACATACCCCAAAGCAGAAAATTTAACAACTTGAGGAGCTTTTTTAAAGCTACATTTTGAGAAAAGTTTCAAAAAACTAATTCAAAAACCAGAATCAAGCCATAATGTTAAACTGCAACAGCTTTTTTCCCTGTAAAATGTCAAACTGGTTTTAAGCCTAGTAAGTTTTTATCCGTTTAGCTACCCGGGAAGGCTCGATGTGAGTGATGGCTGATCCATTGCAGGTGTAGCTGGCCTCCTCCTCTCCAGAGAAGATGTTGTAAAGCTTGAGTTGACCGGAGCAGGTTCCCAGCATGAGGAAGCGCTCGCAGGCTGAAAAGGCACAACAGGTGAAACTGCTGTCGCCTCCGTCGCCTTCATGGAAAACTGACATGGGGCGAAACCTTAATGAGGGAAAAAAAAAGAAACAGAGTCAGAGAGAAAAAATATAACTTTTATCAGGTCTTTAAAGAGTCGCAGGTGCCGTTTCCTACCTGCTGAATATCAGGTGTCTGTCCAGGCTTCCTCTATCCTGACCACCGTACCGTGGATACAGCACCCTGCTCCCCAGACGGGCGGTGAAGTTGGGGGGAGCCTGACGCCTCAGTTTGGACACTGGGCAGCGGTGAGGGGTGAAAAGGGAAAACGGAGGACAGGTGGTGACGGGATTGGGACAACGGGCATGTTGCTCCCTCAGGTACTCAGTGATGATGTTGTCAAGGGTCGGCGGAGACGGCAGGTGGAGCTCCAGCTGCCTTTTCATAGCTGGGGTCTGATTGAATAAAACAGACAGGACTATAGTTCTTAGATGTAAAAGAAGTAAAGTGTCCATTAAGGTTAAGCTTTGGCTTCAAGAGATAATTGTATAAAAAAAAAGTGTTTGTGATGAACTCTGAGCTTAACGGCTACATAAATGAAGATGGAGGCCTTTAATTAGTGCACATGTCAAAGCATGTGTGAGTCATGCAGATGGTACTTCAAATTGGATTTCCTCTTCCACATACTTTTAGAAGGGGTGTAGGAAAGGTTTAGGTTCTGTATTTGGTTTTGTTTTCTATAATTTAATTTGGGAAGTGTAATTATTTAAGTCCTTTCCCTCATAGGTTGCTGACTTAGTATGGTGCTGATTAGTTTGGTCTTTTGTTGTAGTTTTGTTTAGGCAATTGTATTTTGTTTCCCTCTTGTCTCAAAATGGTCTGATCAACCAGTGTTTATACACATTTCCCTTGTGTGTCAGTTAGGTAGGTCTTTTCCTGTTAGGTTTGGATTATGCTGATTTATGTCATTAGTTTTCCTTGATGGGCCCAGTCTTGTTAGAAGTTTGAACTTTATTTTTTGCTAAATAAATTTGTTACCATTTTTTCATCAAAGACTTCCCTGTGCTTCTCTGATTTTTTGGCTTGGTCCCTCACAACGTAATTGCAATAAAAATCAAGAGAAAAAAGTTAAATGAATCATTTAATTAATATATATCAATACAGATGGGTGTGTAGTTCCAGCTCTACTTTTTAAATGTGTTTAGCTTTGCTATAGTCTGTTTTTTCCCCTTTGTATATATTCATCTTTGACTACGTATTGAAAAATGGAATCTATAAAAGCATGAAAACTTCAGCTGTCAGAATTCCAGAGTATTTTAATGAGAAACCTGGAATTACAGCACGGTAATAGTTGTCAGGTAAAAGTTGTCCCCACATTAATAGACTTTGTTCTAGAGTTAGCCTGTGTTACATGAATCCACAAACTGACCTGTACAAAAGCACCGTGGTCGGACTTCTGTTTCAATGCACGAAGTTTTTTCCCTGAGTTGGAGCTGGCCATTTGTCGTTCTCGCGAGAACAAGATCCGGCTAGAAAGATGCGAGCTCTGCCCATAGGGTGCAGGCTGAGGAGGAGTAGTTGGAACAGCTGAGGTAGATGCCCAGGAACCTGACATGTGAGACGCCGCTGGGGATCGGGAAACTGAGGGAGCAGAATGACCTGAGGACAGAGGAGAGGCTCCGACATGGCTGGCGATGCGAGCTGACATCCCGCTGGCTAACCGACAAGTCCTAGGTTTGGAGGTGGAGGAGGTAGGGGTGACACATGAGAGGGTGGAGTTTGGACCCAGAGGAGCTGCAGGTAGATTAGCCTCCTTAACCAGGGTGTTGGCTGTGTCATGGAGTCCTTTGGCTACAAGGTGGTTCCTAATCAGAATGAGGAGCTCCTTCTCAGAAAACGTGATGCGAGTCTGGGCGACCACGTTGTCCTTCTGCAAACGAGCCAGTGACACGTCAGCACCCATGATGATGGGCTTACCAGACACTCGCTCGGTCAGCTTGACGGCATAGCGACAGAATAGAACGTGTTCGCTGCGTTTGTCCTGCAGCACCGGCTCCTTCATGAGCTGAAGAGGAGAAAAACAGAAACATGAAGACTTTAGTCTGAGGCCTGAAGCTGAAATTATGCTCTTCTCTCTAATTTTTCCATCATGTACCGTTTTATTTTCCTGAACCTTTATTATTCTGAATGACAGAGCAGCAGCTTACATGAAAACTCCTGTACTTCAATCCTTTAAAAAAGTTTTGGTCGCAATTTAAAAGAGAAAAACTCTGCACCAAAACTGGGAACGCAACTTTTTAATAAAGGTTGTGTTTGAAAACTCATTCTCCTTCCTGTAGAGTTTTGTACTCTATTTATCCATGAATAGGTCTTTAAATACCCGCAAAACTTCAGAAAGAGGTCTACTGAGTTTTACTGTGCCTTCTATTGCCTTGTTCTTCCTGTTTAGGGGCTAAAACATGAAACACACTTTTTTATAAAACCAAGCTGTGCACACTGCTCTGTAAAAATAATCAATCAAACATCAATGGTGATAAAAGATCCTGCTCAGAATAGTTGAAGGAGCAGCTTTTACACTTGGGCTCGTTGTAAAAGATTCTAATTGCATTTTGGTTTAAAGGTCTTTCTGTTACCTGCTGAATCTGACTGCTGGTGAAAAGCGGCAGCTTGCTGATGATCTGCCTGATGGCAGAGCAATGACTGAGCCCAACCAGAGCCTTACAGGCCAAAGCTCGGATCAGGTCTGCATCTGTGATAGGAACCTTCACGGACAGCAGAGACAGAAGCACCTGCAGGGTAGAAGAGGAGGGAGACACCGTGATCTCTGGTATAATAAGGAATGCCGCCCATTTTATTACGTTTAATTAAAGAAAACAAGCATGTTGTAATTAAAGCAAATGCAGGCATTTAGATGCACATATATTAACTGCCTACCTTTATGCCATTATTGTTCTGCACCACTTGCCACATGTGGGAAAGCACCCTGTTGTGGATGGGAGGGGACTGCTGGGGGTGCAAAGGCTTTTTGAGGGGGGAGACAGCGAAAGCCCCGACGCTGTTCCGGCTCTGGTCTGGAGCGCACACACAGTTTATTATCACCTGAGGTAAACATGGGACAGCAAGTTTAACTGGGTCAATAAAAGAGCATTAAGGAATCAGAACAGCTGCAGAAACTCATCTTCTCTGACATTTACACAGTTATCTAACCTGGAAAAAAATATATATGTGTAGTTAGTTTTCCATTGGATGCAAAAAATGTGTTAATTTGTCCTAATAAAATAATCCTAACTGGGAGTTTCACAAATTTGCTTAAAGGCTGAACAAGGCTAACGGTTAAAGGACAAATCTTTAATGACGTGATCTGACAAGCTTCCACTTATATGTCAATACATTTCAGCTTAATTAGTGAACAAAAAAAGAGAAAAACATCATAAATATTAGCTTACTTGCAGGGCAGACTTCTGAATCTCGGCATCGTTAGGGAACACCTCACCTTCGGCCACACCCAGAATGATGCTCATACCTGCAGCAAAAATGTGACACAGATGGGAACAAACATCCTGGGATTTCAACTTCCACAAACCTCTTCTTTCCAAAACTCAGAGAGAAACAGAAAGGTTCTACAGACCTATAGTGGGAACAAGGGATCCATTTTCATCATAAACCTCCACTGTACCCGCCAGCACCAACTGGACTTTAGGAACAACTGTCAGCACGGCTATGATGTCCAAAGCATAGCGAGCTGTGTCGCTCCTGCAGAGAGCACCACCATGAGATAAAGAACGGAAGAGAACAAAACTTTTTTCTCCCGCTGTCGCTTTATTGCAACATTTATACAATATTAATAAAAGTGAATTCGAATTCCTGGATTACATTTTCCAATGTTCTTAAAACTCATCTGTTGGTTACATCATTGCTGTCAGGGAGTCAGATTACCTGCCGTTGTAGGTTGACCAGTCGCAGGCGGCTGATATGAGCTTCAGCATTAAAGGAACACAGGACAACTTGTAGAAAACTTCGACCGGCTCCCAGTGGAGCTGAGGAGGTCCACATTCAATAAGGAACTCCATCATCTCAATGATTTGCTCTCTGGTGTATGTATAGGCCTTGGGGAAAAAAAAAAAAAAAAAATAGAGAATAATGTTAACATGTCGGATTATAAAGAGTTCTGGTAAATTCAATCATTACTTCAGTTTATTTCATTTGGATTGTGACAGAGTACAAAAAAACTGAATAATCGTAAAGCTTTTGTTTTTTTGCATGTATTGCTGTTGTTATACACCTTTAACTTTACATCAATAGGTTATTATATTTTTCTGATTCTCCTTTAAGTTTTTATTTAATTGAAGTTAATTTCAATTATTATGCCATTATGACTCCTTATAGTGTGTTAATCTAAACCAGAGGTTTGCATCTTCTATAGTTTATCATCTCAGCATGTAATAAGGTCTCTGAAAACCACAATATGTTGGACTTTTTTTCATTAGTAAAACTTCTGCTTTTATATTTGTTTATGTTATTTTAAAATACCAAACCACAAAGTCATACTGCTATTTACTGAAGTATGCAAAAATGTAAGAAACACTGTTTAATAACATTTCTTGGACAAGCTTCACCTTTTGTTACTGGCAGAGATTTCTCTGGTTTCATTTTGTGTGTGATCTGTGCACAATGTTTAAGTACCGAACACAAAGGGAACTTTCCTCAACAGTTGTTACCTGGATTTGTTTGAATTAACACTTTGAAAACAGGGATGTTTATATAATAATCTGCTGACTGCCATCAAACTAGATGAATGTAAGTGAAAGACAGAATGGTGTTCTTTACTGTTCCCTCCAGTATCTAATGATTTAATGATAAATGCATGATTACCAAGAACAGAAACAGTAATCGTACCTTGTAAGATGGCTGATGGGGAATAATGGTGCCGTTTTCTGAAGTGTTCAAAGAGCGTTTCACCTGTTCAGTCTTCACTGCCAGGTGAGCTTCAAAGTACCTTAATAAGCAGACAGATGATAAAATAATATTTAAATCCATCAACACTGGTAAAGAAGAAGACAGAAAATGTAATATCAACGATAAAAAATAGCAAAAATAAAGATTTACTCTGTAACACTGTGACATAATTTATGTTACTACTTCTAGATCAGTAAATTATTAGGGATCTCGATTAAATATCAGGAGGACATATACTTGCGCAGCGCCATGCAGGTGTGCTTGGCTGTCTGTCTGCTTGAGAAGATCTGATCATCACTTAATCTCTGTGCATTCTCTGCGTTTAGGATCTCCAAAGTGCTGATCTGTAGGTAGAAAAAAAGATACCAAAGCAATAAAAAGATGTTTTAAATTTCAGAATGTCATCCTTTATTTTAGGGAAAAAATATTCAATAATTTTACGGAATTTAAGGCAAAGATGTATTAAGAATTCAGAAAAGATCATTAATGGTTAAGACAAACTGATCGACCAATCAAAAATGACTGGAGTTGCTTTTGATCTCAAATGGCCATATTATTTTGCAACTTTTCATTAATATCATTATTATTTGATTTCAATCTAAATATATAAAGAAAAATGTCCTCCCATATGATAACATGATTTAGACAAGTAAATTCTCTCTAGCTTAAAAGAAATTTTTTGTAGCCATTTCTTAACAGTTTCATCTTTACTGAGAGGGGGAAGAATCCACTGCAGCAACAGGGTGACATGATTTAGGGTTTATGATTTAGTAGTAACCAGATTAATATTGTACTAACCAGATTGACCAGCCTGCGGAGACCATCCAGCTGGTCGAAGAGCTGCAGCACAGCCCTAAATGAAAAAGAAATGGAGAAAAACATGGTGGCGTGGCAGATGCCCGAAGCATGGGATGACTCCAGCAACCACAGCGCGTATGACACCATGTCTGACAGCACGCCGTCTGGAAACATGCAAACCTAGAGGCGACAGACAACAGACGACCAGGTATGATGGCGGTAAATACAAAAGTTATGATTTAGTCAGCTCTTATTCCAACAAGAAAAATTGCTAAAAAAAAATAAAATAGGACAGAGTCAAATCAAACGCAAAGATTACATATATAAAACAGAACTGAATTACTAAGGATCTTAGAGATTTTTATGTCAAAATAAGAGGTGCTTGTCTTCACTGTACCCTCTCCATTGCATCCTGATTGTAAGCCAGATAGTAAAGGCAGAGAGAAACGCCTGTTGCTGCCATGGAGGGCCTCGGGATCTCCAGAAGTTTCTGCACTCCTCCGTGAGCAGTGAACTCAGACGAGAACTTCTTATGAAGGAGCAGTGAAGCGAGATACTGATGAGACAAGAAAAACAAAGCAATTATTCATGATTCTTTACCTCATAAAATTACTGAGGAAGGCAATTTGAAGTTCAGATTTTTAAGAACTGCAAGGATGTAACCTGAGTTATCAAAATCAGGTTAATTAATGAATTGAAAAGTGACAGAAAATGTGTCTGCAAGGTGATTTCTGCTTATAAAAGAGTTTCAAGAGGATTCAAAATGTTTCAACAAACTGAAGCAGCTATGAATGTCTACTTACTATAAGTATAGCTTAACGGTTTTTAATGTAGTAATAAACAAAATAAAAGTTTGTTTAGTTTGTTTATCTATGCATTTTAATTCTGTTTAAAAAATGTAACAAAAAAGGCTTATCACCTTTTTCCTTAAGTATCTGCATATTGTTGTTTATTTAACAACGTGAAAAACAAAACCATATATTTTTATTTGCAGCTAAATTAAAGCTTTTAGATGCTATGTTGGGTCTTCATGTGTTCCTCATTGGTGTGCAAGCCCAAAGAGCAGAACCCCACCCACAGAAGAAGTTATCTTTTACTCACAGATGTTTTTTTAAAGGGGAGGACGCTGGTGGCAAAGTTATGTTTTTCCATACTTCGCCTCCTTTTTCAATCAAATTATCTTAAAAAAAATGTTTTTTTATATTAGGGCTGCAATTCAATAAGCAAATCTGGAATTTTGTTTCAAAAAAATCCTTAAAAAACATTTAAAAAAATAACACACACACAAACTAACATATGCCCAATGGAAAAGGATAATGGAAAATAAAACTGACAACTGCTAAATGACAATAATACATAGTAGGCAGTTTGAATTATGAAGGGAAAACAGAATTTTCTGCATCTTTGTTGTTTCTTTAATAGCATTCTTACCAGCAGAGCATCAAAAGTAAGCTGAACATTTTTGGTCTTCCTGAGGTCGATGTAGTTCATCATCAGCGACAGAGTGTCCAGTTTCATAAAGACTCCCAGCAGCTGCAGAAATCAAAAAGATTTTTTAAATAACAGACTTATTTCATAAATGAATTTTTTTTTTAACGGAAAATATCCAACAACATATTGTGGATATGTAATCAAACACAGCTCGACCAATGAAAAGACTTCTGAGCGCAAATGTTTTCAGGGGATTTTTTCAGTGGTATCAAAGTAAAAGAGCCAGACAACCACAAGTTCCTATAAGAAGCAATTCTGTGCTACTTTCTGTCAATTTTATACTGTATACTATTTGATTGCGTTCACTTGCAAGATATGTTCCTCCTGGATGAGCCTGCTGAGACAATTTTTTTCTTGCACTTTGTCATTGACTCTTCAGGAATCCCTCATACTGAGGATGCATGCAGTGACAGTGGAGAGGAAAAACTCCCTTTTAACAGGAAGTAAAAGAGAAAAGGCAACTGCTAACTAGCTCCACAGGTAGCCCCGTCCACGAAGGCAGACTCACATCGGATCCCTTCCTGATACAACCAGGCTTAAAATCATGGATTTCTGCATTCAAGTCAGAGACATAAGCCACTAAAACTGTGAGAATTTGTAAGTATATCCTGTTTGATATAAAAACTCAGTTTTCTTGAATTCTCTTTGCTAGAAAAATGTGTTCATGTTGCTAGTTTGCCTTATGTCTACGACTTTGCTTGGAGAAGAAAAAAAAAGAAAAAAATCATAATATTTTCTCTGCTCTTTGTTAGTAAAGTAGAATTACCATTTTTTTTTCAAATGGGTGCTTAATATAATTATTCCAAATGTGCAATAATGCATTTCTTAAAGTTTTTCCCCTGATCTGTTGTTTGAGGGGCAAAAATTGCCAGTTAGCACTCTTACCTCTTGGTAATCTCCAAGCGGTGTCAAATACTGCAGGATGAGCCTCTGCTCCATGGCTGGACTCAACGGCGACAGTCTGTAGTCGGAGCCAATCAGAATGGGGCTCATCTCAGCCCAGGAGGAGCTGCTGCTGGGCTGCTGGCTGGTATCCGCCTTCTCTCCCTCCTCCTCAGCCCCACTGATGGAGGTGGTACAGTGCTGCTTCTGTTTAGCCTTCCTTCCATTCTCATTTAGTTTCTTCCCTCTTCCTTCTTCTTCTCCTCCCTGAGTTTCTTCCTTCTCTTTTGAAGCAGGATGCGGGCTCGCTTGATACACAAAGTTTGGGAGAAGGCGAGAGGAGGAGGAGTGGCCGCCGTTTCTCTGGGCAGGAGATTTGACCTTTGACATTGACCTGCTACTCTCCCCATTATTCTCCTTTCCCTCCTTGTCTTCTGAGCCATCTTCCTCTTCAGTCTGGATTCGCCGTTTTTTTGTGACAACTGAGGTGTGGGCGGCTTCATCCTGAGAGTGTGGAGGTAGGTTCTGGGCGGTGTGGGTGGGACTAAAATAACTGGTGAGCTCTGCAGATTGCAGCTCATGTAGACGTTTGATCATCATGGATACCTAGATGTGCACAGCAAAGTTAATGTGACAGAAAAAATACACTTTTTTAATCAAAATGGGTCAAACATATACTTTTTAAGGGACGGAGGGTTTCTACAAACATTTTTAACAGCTTAAAGATTTTACATTGAGCCTTTCTCACATGTAATCACTAAACATCTTCATTACTACTGTATGGTCGCAGTTAAACTCAAATTTAGCCTTTTCCTGGACTGCTGCCTCCACTGTCGATGTGTATGAAACCCACCAGTTTAGCGTTCTCCTCTCTGTGGTTAGTTGCCAACTCCTGGTTGCTCATGGCTCTGGCCAGCAGGCCCGTGGCGTAGACGCAAAGAGGCCGCTCAGCTTCGCGGGCCCAACTGAATATCTTCGCCAACAAGCCTTCCTTTTATCCACACAGCAAAAAGCAGATAACTTAAAAAATGAAAACATTTTCCTCCTATTTTAACATATTATTATGCTTTAAATCCCCATGCATTCCCCAAAATCTGAAACCTCAAATACAATTTCTACTGAAAGATGTGTTATTTCAATCATTAGTTATAGAGTTTCTGATATTAGCATTATGCCATCTGCCTCTACTACTCAGTATGATGAGATAAATCACTTGTTCAATTCATTTCAACTCTTATCTAAGTTTTACTTATTAATAAACGTATAAAATCTTCCTCCTCTTAGATGTTTTATAAACAAAGTTTCTCAAGGATGTTTGTACTTTTTAGTTTAACATTTAATGAACTACAGGTTTTTAAAAATGGATTTATCCAATTGGGAAGTCATTTAAATATTTAAAAATATTTAAAACTTTTTTTTTTGATGGTGATGGTGATGGTGTTTGGAGCCAAAGCCAAGAGGAATCCAGTAACTTTTTTCCTTCCTGTTTCTGGTTATAACTGTACTACTGAAGACAGGAATTTAAAGAACCTTTTTTATTCAAAACTTTTAACTATGGAAGACATGAAACAATCTTCCATATTTCTGGTTATTTGTTTATGGCAGTTCCTTGCAGTCTTATGTTTTCCAAATTTTCTTCAAGTATCCATTTAAATCTTATAATAATCTCTGAGCTCCTTTATGCAGAACTATAAGAAATGTAAAGTACACTATGAATAACTTTTGTTTTAACTGTCATTTTTTAAATCATTATCCCCCATCTCTATGGCTTAGAACTTCATCTTTTCTCATTTAGTTACTCTCAGCCTTTTTTTTTTTTTGCCCAAACAATTTAGCGCTCTATATTCAGATTCTTTGAAGATCGGGTCCATGTTGTGGATTGTTTAAGGCCAAAACTTTTTTATTTTTGTAAAGGAAAACCCAACGCATCCAATCACATTCCAAGATCATGAAGCAAGAAAAATATCTCAGAGGTAATATGCTGAAGTTTGCATCATGGAAGTAATTTAAAATTGCCTGTCTGAAATTACAAAACTCATTGAGTAACAGAACCACTTAATGATATTTATAGCAGTAAAGGCAGCCAAGGAGAAGTTTAGAATATTGTTTATAATACTTTAATTTCATGGTATCATAAGTAAAATTCTTATCACAATTCTGTTTAGCAATGTGTAATTTAATAACCTTAATTTAAAAATACCTTCTCTTCAAAGACAACAACAGTATCCAGGCCTGGGCCAATGTTCAGAAAGAGGCGACAGGCTGCTGTGTTTAGGGCAACGTCTCGACTGGTCATGATATACGTGTCCAAAAGCTGCAAAACAAATGACAGAACTTATAAAAACACTAACTGATAATAGTATCCCAAAATAACAGCTTTAAAGACAAGAGGCCTGCAATCTTATTTTTAGCTTCTAACTATAAATATGTGTTGTATTTAAAATAAAATGTAGATATTCTTATTGATGGACATGTGCAAAATGAACACACATTTTTGCCTTACTAAGGATTGTATGAACATAATAACTACAACAAGTAAACTGTTAGGGTTACCTCATTAGTGAATTCATCATTTATAAAGATCATCCTCAGCAGCTGACCCAGCATACAGTTTGGGTGAGCTCTTTCTGCAAAATTACACACAAGCCAAAGAGTCAGCTACAGGTCAAAAGTGTGTGTAAGAATAAACATGAGTGTCTGATTATGTTTTTCACGTCTACTGAAGATTAAACAAAACCTGTCAGCAAAGCACACAGCTTGAGAAAGTGGACGCACCTGGATGACGATCATCAAAGGGGTCAGGATCAGATTTGTAAAATTCTTCTGTCTCCTTTTCGATCAGCTCAGATATTCTGTAAAATTGTAAAAAAAAAAATAAAAAAGGAGAAATATAGATGAGATGCAAATACTACCTGAAAAAGCTACAGATAAACAGAAGGAGGAGCTCTGACTTAGTTAAGGTGGACACCAGCTGCTCTGTGGTAGCATGCCTTGTCTCTTCCCACTCATCCAACAGTTTGCCCAGATCAGCTTTGGCGTCCACTGACGTGGCAACTGCAACTGCAGCAGACAAAGCAGCCGCCCATGCAGAGGACAGGACAGCAGACAGGGCAGCCGACGAGTCTTCATCTTGGGAGGACATCCCAGCCTGCAGAAAAAAGGATGCAAACAGAACCAACAGATGAATAAATGTTGTTTAATGCACAAGAGGAAAACATCTGGAAAAAGTTTATGAGGGTTTCATATTTGGAAAGTAGAACAGTCTGTTTTAACAGCTTTAAGTAGCGAAATATTGGGCCCCCCTGCTGGTCACTGTACAGAATTCCTTATTAGCATTTATATGAGAAGAGTTACAAGGTTTTAGGGAAAATATAGGGTCATATTTCAATTTCTCAGCTTTTCTAAGACTAATCAGCTGTATTTTCCTGGTCTGTGAACATATATCAGGAATTAAACTTTGGATTGATCGATGCTCATGATGAGCTTCATTATGCAATACAATAACACGATAAACACTGGCCACATAACAGAGGACAAAAATAAACATACTATTAATCAAACAGATTAAAAACAATAGTCCAATAATATGAAGAGCAGAATGCAAATGATGCATGAAATAAGTGGTAAACAAGGGCTGAAAGGTGATGGAGTTATTGCATAAGAACTGTTTCTGACGATGTGAGTCAGAATGATGGGAAGAAACTATTGATAAATCTTTTGGTTTTGATATACTGTGCTCTGGAACGGCTACATGAGGTATAGGTTGTGACCAGGGTCAGATTTGCAGTGATGTTTACTGTCCTTTTTCTGGCTTTGGTAACAAATTTCCTGAATGTGAAGGGCAGGTTGGCACTGTTGATGCTTTCTGCAAACCCGACTGACTGCTGGAGCCTATCTCTGTCCATTTTGGTACCAGATCCAAACCATTTAGTGAGTTCACTATTAACACTCTGCCCAATGATGACCCTGAGCTCTAAAAGTCTTTCTATATTGTCACTAAAAAACAAAATATCTTTAAGATGGAATCAAGAATCATAGTTCTGAGGTTGTTTCTACTATAACCCTTAGAAAGAAAAAAAAAGGAATCAAACAAGTTTAAAATCTTAACAGACATTGGCTCATAAAACTTACAAGTGCAGCCTTTATAGGCAAACACTGAATACTAAATAAAAATAATAATTTCTCACAATAGAGAAATTAACTCGCTGCATTTAACCCATCCCCTTAAGGGAGCAGTGGGCTGCCACTTCACGGCGCCCGGGGAGCAATCGGGGGTTAAGGTTCTTACCGATGAGACCCAGGGTTTGCAGTCAGTGGGAGAGATTTTTGAATCCTATGCCCTAAACCACTAGGCCACAAAACAAGTGGATTTTTACTAATATCATAACAGATATTAATACGATAAAAGCAGTAGATTCCCTAATGTATAAAACAAGTAACTAATGTGTAATTATAATATCTAAATCTAGAAAGAAAAAGAAAGCTTTACATTTCACATTAGTGTCCTAAAACTAGAAGTGGAAAAAGGTATAGATGCACTGATCCAGTTTTTTCCGATTCGATACCTGGTTTGAGCGTAATGGCCGGTATATGATACCGATCCATTTGAACTGTTAAATGGATAACTATATATCTTGCCATGTGAGTGAAGGCTTTAGCCGGGACATAAATGCTGTAAATAAAATAAAGGTACCAAATTAACATAGATATAAATGTACTTTATATCATTTATTAACAAATAAAATGCGTATAAGCAGCAAAAATAAAGAAAGTTTAAAGTGTACTGGATTGGATCCCCAATATCCAATATTATATATCTGTCAGGTCTAAGCACCTAAAACATCATACATACATACAGGGAAAGAAAAAGGCACAGAGACAATTAGTTTAGTTTTACTCTCGAGGAGAGTAGGAAGAGACTGTGCAGTTACAATCTCCAACCCACTCTGCCGGTCTTCAGCTTTCTCCTCGCTATTTATTAAAGTCAGTGGATGTCCCTAATTACACAAGCTGAGGTTGTACTAAGGGAAAGGGAAACTAAATGATGTTACTTTGAACCTCCGCACATACACTATATTGCCAAAAGTATTTGCTCACCCATCCAAATTATTGGAATCAGGTGTTCCAATCACTTCCATGGCCACAGGTGTATAAATTCAAGCACCTAGGCATGCAGACTGTTTTTACAAACATTTGTGAAAGAATGGGTCGCTCTCAGGAGCTCAGTGAATTCCAGCGTGGAACTGTGATAGGATGCCACCTGTGCAACAAATCCAGTCGTGAAATTTCCTCGCTCCTAAATATTCCACAGTCAACTGTCAGCTGTATTATAAGAAAATGGAAGTGTTTGGGAACGACAGCAACTCAGCCACGAAGTGGTAGGCCACGTAAACTGACGGAGCGGGGTCAGCGGATGCTGACGCGCATAGTGCGAAGAGGTCGCCAACTTTCTGCAGAGTCAATCACTACAGACCTCCAAACTTCATGTGGCCTTCAGATTAGCTCAAGAACAGTGCGCAGAGAGCTTCATGGAATGGGTTTCCATGGTCGAGCAGCTGCATCCAAGCCATACATCACCAAATGCAATGCAAAGCGTTGGATGCGGTGGTGTAAAGCACGCCGCCACTGGACTCTAGAGCAGTGGAGACGCGTTCTCTGGAGTGACGAATCGCGCTTCTCCATCTGGCAATCTGATGGACGGGTCTGGGTTTGGCGGTTGCCAGGAGAACGGTACTTGTCTGACTGCATTGTGCCAAGTGTAAAGTTTGGTGGAGGGGGGATTATGGTGTGGGGTTGTTTTTCAGGAGCTGGGCTTGGCCCCTTAGTTCCAGTGAAAGGAACTCTGAATGCTTCAGCATACCAAGACATTTTGGACAATTCCATGCTCCCAACTTTGTGGGAACAGTTTGGAGCTGGCCCCTTCCTCTTCCAACATGACTGTGCACCAGTGCACAAAGCAAGGTCCATAAAGACATGGATGACAGAGTCTGGTGTGGATGAACTTGACTGGCCTGCACAGAGTCCTGACCTCAACCCGATAGAACACCTTTGGGATGAATTAGAGCGGAGACTGAGAGCCAGGCCTTCTCGTCCAACATCAGTGTGCGACCTCACAAATGCGCTTCTGGAAGAATGGTCAAAAATTCCCATAAACACACTCCTAAACCTTGTGGACAGCCTTCCCAGAAGAGTTGAAGCTGTTCTAGCTGCAAAGGGTGGACCGACGTCATATTGAACCCTATGGATTAGGAACGGAATGTCACTTAAGCTCATATGTGAGTCAAGGCAGGTGAGCAAATACTTTTGGCAATATAGTGTATGTTAAAACAAAGCATGTGGTTGTTTTACAATTAACTTCGTTCCAAGAACACATGTTTAGAAAAAACATGTGATAGAGGATGCTCAGGTCTCTTTTACAACCCAACATGTGATAGAGGATGTTAAGGCATCATTCACAACCGGCCCGTTGCATGACCTGTATGTGGAACGATCTTTAGCAAGAGTTAATAAGCGATGAATCACACATTACACATCATAATAGTTCATTAGTACACAACCCATGAAACACAAACGGAGTAAGAGAATAAATATAATATTTTTAACAATATCCAATCACCGAAATCTGATCCAGCAAATTAGTCAATATCAGACTCAATATCTCATCCATGTGTCAGATCAGTGTATCTTTAGAAGGTGTTACTTTACATATATTTTCTACAGTCTAGTAGGGCCAAAAAAAAGGTGGAGCACATCGAAAGGGTCTACAGATAAACCAGTGGAGCTGAAAATAACACCCTGCTGCTGCCAAATGGACTTTTTACTTTTTGTTAATCAACATTTTGGCACAACTAGAATTGATTTACAAGCGATAAGTTGAGAAAGAGAATTTTACCTCGGTTTTTTGTTTTGTTGTCGTTGTTAATTAAGAAAGATCAATAAAGTGAAGAAAATATTTAAGATAAAATGTTAATGTACAAAGCTTGGTAGCGAAAGGGGGCCAAAGGAGCTACACTTCAAGAAATACATTAATTATTTCAATAAAATCATTCAAACTAAGCTATAAAATAAAGCATAAAAAGAAATAATAAAACATTATCTAATTATTGAGATGCATCCATAAATTAAATACACATCAGATACAAATTGGAAATCATTAAAACTAGACTTATTATGTTGTACTTATATGATCATTTCCATATCTCTATCCACCATCTTAGTATCTGTGGCCCTTTAAAAGGTTTCTGTATTCCAAGAGAAAACAATGCAAAACAGTCACCTTATAGCAACTTTATCCTTTCAAATAGGCATTACTGAACAAGTTTATGAACCTAAATGAAATGTTGAGGAGCTGCAACATAAGACTATGGTAAGTGAAAAAAAAATGTATTAAAAAAATTAATGTCATTTAAATTACTTAAATATTTATTTCAAGTTTTTTTTCATTTAACATATGCAATTTCAGTTTAACTGAACAGATGAACAAAAAAAATGTATGTACATTTACATTAATGTTAAGGTAGCAGATGTGACTGATATTAAATACAATTTTCAACATAATTAACAAGCATTTTCTTCATTTAGGAGTTTATCATGCTCAATGTTCATTCATATGTAATCAACAGCTTAAATTCTAGCTTTGCCTTTTAATAAAACCGGCCAAACGGTAGATTTCCTGCACGAGTCTAAATAAAAAAAATGTTTTGCTTTAATTTTCTCCTAAATCTTACCCTTAGCTGTCGTGAGGATCGTCGTGGCCTCATCTCTAAAGCACCCCTCAAAGGTCGTGAAAGATTAAAAAACCAAATCAAGCCTGGATGTTTCAAACCCAAACCAACAGGTGGGTCTGGCTGCTGCAAGACAGTTAATGTATCTGTTGCTGCCTCATTTTTCGAGCTCGGGTGGCAGGTAACTCCATTTAACGAGAGTCATTTTCAGCTGAATCCGGAGAGTCTTCAGCATAAATATCTCTCGTTCGTGTTCCGGAGAGATAAGCTCCTAAATGAGCCTCCGAGCTAACCAGCGGCATGTTGACAGTCCGTTGCCTCATGTAACAGATTTAGCTAGCAGCGCAACATCAGTTTTCTGTGTTACTCACCTCAGAATTCGCTTTATCTGCCCGCTGTCGCTCTTCTAACTCGTTATGGCTTCCTTGGTTTGTATTCTATTGAACTTGTGAGAAAATACTAAAAAATAATTATCCACGTAAATCGGTTTTTAGAAGGGAAAAAAGTTTCACGTTTATTTTTAAACTTCTCCCCGGCGAGCGTATGCTACGTCACCGAATGACCGGGCGCCGTTAGATGACGGAAGTAGACCAATGTTTTCCTGGGACTTGTAGTCCTTAGTCTGTATGGAAATGCCTCGGCAGGGATTCTGTGAGGGAACAGCACCGCCTGGATGCTGTAAATATTTTAACCTACGTAGAAAGGTATACTATTTACTCTTAAGTCATAATATTCTTTAATTAGTAGATTCTGTTCACCTGTGGCCTAGTGGGTTAGAGCAGTGCGCTTGTTTTCCGAGAAGGATGCAAGTACCCAGTTTGAATCCCACTGCTTCCACTCTGCTCCCCAAGGTGATGGGTTAAATTAGGGCAGTGGTGTCAAAAGTACACACATTTGTTACTTAAGTAGAAGTATAGATGCTGCAGTTTAAAAACATTCTGGTAAAAGTTGAAGTATCAACTTGACCTCTTTACTCAAGTAAAAGTGAAAAGGTATGTGCTCCAAAAACTACTTGAAGTATAAAAGTATAAAGTAACCTTTAAAAAAAGCAGCCAGATGCCACTATATGAATTCAAAGCTCAATTTTTCGACTATTTCGAAAAATTCTTTGAGATAGGGCCATGGATGAGGGAGATCTTGTTGGTCTCCATCTCCTGATACGCTCTCGCCTGTGTCTGACCTTTCAGACATTCCGACATCTTTTTCTGAATCCGACATTGTAGCATGGCATGGACAATTCACGTTTGCAGTTTGAAGAACACCTGCTTGCTTCTGAGGATTTTCTTTGGCGTCAGCACAAATTTGACAAATAGCTGACGAATAGTGTTTGCGTTATATGACTCATCCAATACACTAGTTTTCACTAGATGTGGATGGCACCAATCATCTGCATTGGATGGCGCCCATGACGTGAAATAGATATTTATAAACATTAAACAGAAGCTAAGAGTAAGGAGTAATGTTTTTTTTAAATGTAAGGAATAGAAAGTACAGATACTTGTGTGAAAATGTAATGAGTAGGAGTCAGAAGTAAAGTATAGATAACAAAAAATTGTACTTAATTACAGTAACAAAGTATTTATACTTTGTCACTTGACACCTCTGGGGGTAAGTGATATGATTAAGAGCTTCTCAACAGTTCAGCTGTCTGATGGCAGTGGGGAAGAAGCTGTTTCAGAATCTGCTGGACCCTTTATCAAATGCTGCAAAAAAGGCAGTTTCTCTCTCTTACCATGTTGATATAAGAAGTGCTGCACAAAAAAAATGAAAATTAAGATACTGAAGACTATCTTTAAAAGTATTAAGTTCACACCGAAACTCAGGGTATAAAGATAAACTATGACAATAGACCTATGACACATAGTGCCCTGTTCAGCGCAATTTTACAATAACTTTGAAGTCTTGTTAGTGTTATTGCAAAATAATAAGGTTTATAGCACAATAATGTAATGAAGTGATTATGTCCATGGATCTCTGACTGTACTGAAATATGTAGAGAAGTTGATGCAGTGGGGTTCATCAGCAAACTCCTATATACTTATTGTCCTCAGTCATCACAAAAGGGAAGGAATGTGCACTTAAGGGTACCAGTTTATCTGATTTGAAACATGAAACAATTTGATGATTCCAATAAAAAAAAATCTTAATAACAGAGAGCGAGAGAAATCAAAAGCAGAGTTTTATCAATAAAATACATGACAGAAGAAACCACCACCTACACTAGAATATTCTGAACTGGAAAACATTCAAATCAACCTTTGATGTGTCTTTTTTATGAACCCTAGGATTAAGTTGAGGTTGGCTAAGCATTAAAACATATACATACTCTACATGCTAAGGAACATTGCAGGTTTTATCTGAACAGTTGGATGTCTTATGTGACCAATACATAATGCTTGTGTCCAGGAGAGAATAAATATTTAATATTCCATAGGAAAATGAAAATCTTCCACCTCCATAAATACAAAAACAATGCAAGCAGTTCTATACTAAGCCTGTCTAAAATGAGTTATTAGACACAGTTGCACTGATCATATAATGCAAAGTGACAAGGATTTAGGTAACAGCATTAGGGATTCATACACACACACACACACACACACCCACACACACACACACACACACACACACACACACATATATATATATATATATATATATATATATATATATGTGTGTGTGTGTGTGGGTGTGTGTGTGTGTGTGTGTGTGTGTGTATGTATGTATTTTATTCATTGGAGCAGAGAATATAAAATCTCTTAAATCATTTTGGTTAGGGTTGATCTGGTTGGATTATACTATAAAGATTTAAATTGGGCATTTCTTTTAATTTGACATGACATTTTTTTAACTCCGTGACATTTTTTTATTCACTTTTATTCTTAAACTGCAAGGTGAACACATTTAATCAAATCAACACACTCTACTACAACTTGAATAAAACTTAAAAACAAATGCAGAGTGATTCTTTACACTGATAACAAATTGGTAATGGTGTTATATACTGTTAATATCTTTCACTTTGCCGTGTTCTGAAGTTGTTGATGTAGAACTAAGTAGCAAACAACGAGGGTAAACATCAGTACCATTTTTTTTTTTTTTTTTTTTTTTTGTTTGCTTTGCTTTTCGCTTTCAGACCAGAAAGTTCATCGGGTAAAATGTGTGGCCCTGTGTAGTAAATAGTGATGCCATGAACACAGTGCCGGTGGTGTTAGTGAGCCTGAGTGGGTTCTGCATGTTTTAAAACACTCAACTATTATAAATTATAATCATGTGTGTTTTGGGAATACTTTATAGCTGCCAGGAATTTATTCATTTATTTTTTTATTCTGCCTTTTTTCTTACTCAGGGTCATGAACATGACAAATAAAGAAACTCTTTCCTTCATACTATTATTAAAAACTAATCTAGCATGCATTTTTTGGAGAGTTAAACAGAGAACACATAAGGTAATAAAAAGCCAAACTTCCACAAATTCAAATTTATTTTAATTTTCCCCAATTCAACATATTTCCATCTAATTTAGCAGATGTATGCTCTGCTGGACAGCTTAGCCATCTGATTTGTTTGTTTAAGTGTTCCCTATAAGAGCAGAAATATAGTTTTGAAAGGACTCAACTGATAAGCAATCTCTCCAAAATGAAAGTTAGATTTAATATTTTGGAATTATTATCCAATTTTAGATTTTCTTAATATAACTAATTTGTTTGACAGAATGTGAGTCGTTTTTTCTTCCGTCATTTCAGTCCACACTCCAAATCAAGGGTGGTGGTTTAATAAAATTCATTCCAGACAGAAGAAGAAAGGCTAAAACAGCCCAGAATATGATCGGAGTCAGAAGAGGACAAATATCCAGTGAGGGCAAAGCAAGCACAGGAACTTGGAATGATTCTCATACGGGCAATAAGCAGATGACATACTGGCAGGGAAATAATGAGATAGGCAGGTATAAATAGGCTAAGTAAGAGCTGGGAGGAACAAAGGTGATTGGGAGAGTGGCAAGGTGCTTCTCGTTACTTTAACTAGCAGACTACAAGAGCAGGGAATAGGGAATGCCAGCAAACCCCCCCCCAAAAAAAAAGAAACCGTCAAACTGCAGGTGTGGTGTCTGTCTCTCTCTCTTCTCTGCAGGGTGTGATGGGCAGGTGCAGCTCATCTCTGTTAATTTTGGAGTCTACTTAAGGAGCTGGGACCAGGAGGAGGGCGTCAGTTCTTTCTCACTACCAGCGTGGTATATGACCGACCAGCTTTCTCCTAGATTTCTATTCAAGCCAGATCTAATCCCATGTCTGTTTTTTCCCTCCTAGCAACCAACCAAGCCAGTTTGCCGCAGCCCTCCCCCAGGAGCCCACGGCCTGTCCACCCTCCTACAAACCATCACCTAAAGGGTAGAGTCTCAGTTTGCTCCTGGACCCAGGACACAATCCTTCCAAGCTCAAAACAACCTCAAGCCCTGTGAGTTCAGCATCCTCCACCTTCCCACCACCTCAGATCAGTTGTTCACCATCATCCAATCTGTCCCTAGGCGTTACCAGGAAGATCCTGCCAAACTCAATTTTCTGTTCTTTGTTTAATAAAGTTTTCCTTAACTAAACTAACTGTCTCCGTGGTTGCCCTGATTCAGAGTCGTTCTTCTCTCATTATGAGAGAAACAGGCACAATTCATGACCAAACTCAAACTAGTCAAATTATATCAAAATCAGTGGAGAAGAAGTGGAATTGGTGGTGGAGTATGAATACCTGGACAACAGATGAGACTTGAGATGCAACTGTTAAGACGTCTGCAGGAAGGGAAAAAACAGACTGTACTTCTCAAGGAAGCTTAGCAGGCACGTGCAGAGGGGGGGGGCTAAGGGGGCTTGAGCACCTGCCCCTTTTGCTCCATGATCCCAATGTGCCCTTTTGGTCCCTTTTTTTTTTTTTTTTTTTTTTATTTATTTGACACGTACTGAAATTATTATTATTATCTTTTTTTTTTTGGCAAGAAAAAAAATACAATAAGCCGTCCGATCACATTGTTACCTTTGACCTTTTGCCGGTGACGACGCACTTGCCTCTCGCACAGTCAGATAAGGCGGCTAACTGCGGAGCTAAAGGTAGCGAATATTCCACATTACACTGTGGCCGCTGCTCATTTGGCCCTAAGCAAGATCAACCATGATCGGACGGGACGGATGGCTATGTCTTCAGTCTGCACTGCCTCTCCAATGTCAACCTGAATAGAGATGTAAGTGAAACCAAATGAGCCCCATGGATGATGCAGTATTGTTTGATCTAAAACACTGTTTGCTCTGTGCTTTTAGTCTTTTACATTGAAAATTATGTTTTTTAATTCACAAAAAACTGTTCTGTAATGATTACAGAACAGTTTTTTTGTGAATTAAAAAACATAATTTTTGGTGAAAATACTGGAGTAGGCTTGCTACTTGTCAGATAACGGAAAACTTTGAATGTTGTATAATTTCTCTACTTTAGCAAAGAGTAGCGGTTTAAACGGAGGAAAGTATAGGACGCTGCGCGCCTTTCTCTGAAGAACTACTGAGCGGGAGGAGACAGCCAG